GGGCACCTTCAGCTTTTTCACCACATTTGCTTACCCATTTTGTCTTCTGTGATCATATCGGGAAGGTGAGCATCATGGAATGCCAGGTTATTAGAACAAACTGTTCTTGCATTGAGGGAGTATTTGAGTAGAGGCACAATGGTTGTCTGCTACCTTAATACTAAACCTATAAATATATGTACATAGATCTATTTCCCTATAGTTATATATAAATATTTTTACATATGTCCATGGTTGTTTATAGACTTCTGTAAATGCCCTTTGCCTCCTAGTTCTTTTCTCTATTCCGTCCCATTATCATGTTTGGCCTCCTTGGGGTTTCAGTAATTCCCCTCGGTTACATTGCCCTTGATCAAGCCCAACCATACATTCTGCGCCCTCCTCACCATCAATTTTAGATTACTGACTTCCTGTCCCTGGGTTTGTTAACACCCATTTCCTTTACCCCCCTCCCCCTCTCCTGTGATACACACACACCCTACCCACCCCCGGACCCTGGGTCCCTATGTTTTCTCCTCTGGATTGTTTATCCCACCTATCTTATCTAGATAGACATGCAGAGACAATAATAAGCACAAAAACAAGACAAAGCAAAACTACAACAAAAAAACCTGAAGACCTCCCCCCCAAAAAAAGCCTATAAATAGCTCAAGGTCTGTTTGTTGACTTTTAGGAGTGTTTCCCAGTCGAGTCTGATGGAGTGCCATGCACTGGCCCCTAAGTCTTATTTTTAGTATTCCCCGGGGGCTTCATTATTTGGCTCCCCTTGCTGCTCTGTTGCACACCTTTAGAATTTTGCCTGGAAGTGGTGAAATCAGATCGAGTACAGTTCCCACACTGTGCCTCCTGTGTTGTTCCCTGAAGTACTATGGGTCAGTGAGGGACATCATGTCTTGTGGTGGGGCCGGCCCTGTGGTCCTCTCTGCATTAGCTGCTCTAAGCAGGAATATCATCCTTAGGGCTTGGTAGGCCAGGATGTGTTCCACTCTCTCCTTCCTTCTTAGTTTGCTCCTGTGTGCCCTAATCAGATGTGCCCCTCTCACTGAGCTGTACCTTCAGTGCTGTCCTCTGAAGTGAATTCTTCTGGG